CAAATGCAAAACATGAACTATGTGTAAAAACACACAACATACACCAGTATGTGCAAGGTTACTGCCTGCACAGCTCCACTCTGCTACCTTGAACTGAGCACATATATTCCAAAAATCCCCAACCCCTTCTGTAAGGGAATATACACACATGTTAAGATATCAGCATGACTCTGTGCAGGAATTATGTGCATCGAGGCCATCACAGCTGATCATCATAAATGCATCCATTCTGCTGCCTCTCCCACATGATGGGAACCAGGGACAAATCATATTTTTACATACCTTGTGGGTGCTGTCCCCTGAGACAACTGCCTTTGAAGTGCAACACAAGACATCTGGCGAAAAATTGTGTGCAACTCAAAATGTAGGTTGCCACATGTGAGGAACATTTGTGGGTTCTTTTTTCAAAGCACACACACTGGCCGAAGAGCTTGGAAATGTTACCTCTGCTGGACTACAGTGTCCAACATCATGCCAGCTGGGGGATTGTGGGAGCTGCAGTTAAATACATTTGGGGGCCTCCGGGTTGCACTGTAGGGACTGCAACCTTTCAAATTAATTCCTAAAGTAGTTTAACTCCACCTCTGAATCAAACGAACAGAGCAAAACATATACATCTCTTCAAAGGATAGTGAAGGATAACAACTTAAAGATTAATACAACTTTTATTAAATAAGCTTTCATCAAGTCCATTCTATCAGGTACACTTGGGATGGTATCATCATCATCATCATCATCATCATCATCAGTTATACAGATAGCTTCAGGGAAGGAAGGAAGTAAATTGTGAGCTCTGAGGTCAATGAAATGTGGAAATACAGAGGCAGTTCCATTCTTCATCATATTCATTCACAACATAACTCTTCCTGATAACACAAACAGCTTGGTATAGAGTAAACAAATTAATACACTGATTTTTATTTATTTATTCTGATTGAAGCCACAAGAGACAGAACTGAGCCTCTTGATGGATATTAACTCTGTAATTTATTCATCTTAATTTGTTAGTCTTTTTTACTCTTCTGTGTCTATTTTGCTGCAACGGGCTAATTTATCCTCTGGAACATATGCTAAATAAAGCATTTTTTTAAAAGAGAGAATCAGTGTGGCCTAACACTTAAGAGTCTGGACTGTGATTCGAGAAACCCAGTTCCTAGTCTCCGATGAGCCATGCAAGGCACTGAATTAGCCTGGGCCAATCACTCTCTCAATCTCTCTCCCTACCTCACAGGATTGTTGTTGCTGCAAGTGCAGTGTAGTGGACTAGGGCTCCAGGAGACCAGGGTTCAAATCTCCACTCAGCCACAGAAACCCATAGGGTGAC